AAGACTGAAAGGAAGACTGAAACCTAGCAGTGCAAACATTAAATCCTGTAGCTCCATGTCTAGAACCTGGAGCATTACCACATGATAATAAGATTCAAACTCCAAATGACTTTAGTGGCCCTGCTTCTATGACACTGCCTGCACAGACTCCATGGCCTCTCTCTTGGGGTCGCTTTTTTTACTGCCTGTGGCTTTCCTCAGATGTTTCATGTTCCTGTCTTCTCCAACTTCCTGGGGTCTCCACTTCACTCTTGGCTTCACTCTCACTTCTTTGAGCAGTGCCCTCTCTGGGGCACACTGCCTGGCCTCCCATGCCTTCTTTGGTTTGTGTGGGAGAATTCCTGACCTTACAGCTCTTAAATTCTGCATGTAAAACCAGTACCATGTGGATAATGCCAAGATTTGTTTGCATGATCTGACAAATCCATCTAGTCCTTTTTGGATCATGGTTGCAGAGGCCTCTTGAGTGCCTGGATGGCTGAGCACTGTGAATTGAATCCTGGGGAACCAGTTCCCAAGCAATCTTTCTGGAGTAGTGTTCTTTTGGGGCTCCCATTCTTAAAGCTAAGTTTTTTGTACTTTTGTACTCTTGAGCCTTCAAAGAATGGGATGTTGCTAATTCCTTACATGTTTGCATTTCTGTCAGCATTTTGGTCTTTTGAGCTCTGATCAGAGCCTCCCGTGAAACTTGGCTTACACCATTGTATGACTTCTCTGCTAGGAAGGGAGATAATCCTACTGGGTCATGCCCCTTGGGACCCACCTCTTCTGGCCAAACCCTACATCCTAACATCACATTCAGCACATATTGCCCTATTATTTAATCATCCTTCAAAGTTCTACCTATGAGTGTATCCAGACATTTCATTTTGCCTTTCCCACCATAGTAGCCTTCACAGTACAAGTTAGGGAACCAATATGAGGGTTATGCCAACTGCTAAATATATCCATCACCATTATGCACTCTGGAATGGGAAAAATGACCTCCAGATGGGTTCAGGAGCTTACTAGATCCACTGTAAGTGAGTCCTGGGCTAAAACTCCATTAATCACCTGAATTCAATTGACCCTATACTCTCACTGGAGGGCCATAATTATGTTTTGGACCCCTTGGTGTCAGCATTAGTTCAGAACCAGTGTCCAGTAGTCTCTGAAGTGTCTGATCATTTCCCTTTCTCCATTGTACAGTTACCTAGGAAAAAGGCCTTGGGTCCCTTTGGGGAAGGATGGGAGAAAGTTTGACAGTATAACTTTTTGGTAGTGCACCAGGGTCTGTCCATAAGGCAGCCAGGACTCCCCTTGATTACAGGGGTTCTGAGTCTGGAAACTGGCTCATCAGGCAACTGGTTGAGGGTCCATAATTTTCTGTCACTGTGTTCTAGGTGGATTTTTGTGCATTTGCTCCCAAACCTTTTTCGGCATATAAATCTAGTAAAAACTTAGTAGGCTTTTGTCTTAATTACTTCTCTCTCATTGTTGAGACAAAATACCTAACACTCAAAGTTAAAGGGGGGAAGGTTTATTTAGCTCACAGTTTGTGGAGATTTCAGTCCATAATTGGCTGGCTCCAAGGCAGAGTGGCTTGGCAGAGGGGCATCCCAGGGGAGAAGCAGCTTATGGTGGTACAAGCCAGCAAAAGCAAACAAGCAAGCAAGGAAGACAAGACTCTTTCTGTCCCTTATATTTGTGCAGGGTACCTGCACTAGGGCAGGTATAGCACTCACATTTTTAATCCTAGCCCAAACTATGCCAAGCCAATTAGTGGACTGATTCAGTAATCACACACCCTTAATCCCATCATCACACACTCTAGATTCAGCCAAATCTAAAAAAGCCCTGTGACTGCATGAGGTTTTGAGGGGACATCTAGACACAAACCATAACAACTCTATCTCTTCATCTTTGGGAACACCATGACTAATCAGCCAACCCCATAGATCTATGTGAGTCAGACCGTTGCTTTGCTTCTGCTCTCCATTATGGTAAGTAGGCCTACCTTGTCTTTGGTGATTGAGCACTGCTACTTGGCCCCTGTCACTCTGGAATCCAATTAAACCCATATCCTTTAAGTTTCCCAATTGACTGCAGTCCCTAATGTAAGGTCTGGCATTCAGAGAAGAGCAATGACACAGCTCTTCAAGGATGCTGGTGTTCCCCTCATAAATCTGTTTCTTAAGGTGGTAATGAAGGGTGCATTTTCTAGACTCTCCCAGTAAGGAAGAGTAGGTTTCAGTATTTACATTTTCCTGAGCCTTCAAATGCCATCATCAGCAGTAAAACAAGGAGTATCAGGCACCACAAACTTATTGACAGAAAGCCTTGATTCTATGAGGTCTTCCCCTCCCCTTTCTCTTTTGGTGACAAGTCTATTTCATAGGAATGTTGCATTCTTCCCAGTATGTCACATCAGAAATGTCCACATGATCTGGTTGACCCGCTTTAAGTGAATCTTGAGTCACTATAGATTTTAATAGAATCTTCAATCACTATAGATTTTAACAGAAATGTTAATCACTAATGGTCATAATCATTAATCATGTAATCACTTGAATCATTAAATGTTCTACAAGCCTTACCATAATTGTTAATTGTATCTACAATGCACATATAAAGATTTCAGAGTAACAGTACCACAGAGCCACCAACAAAAAGATACAGAACTCAGTTTAGGGCAGTTATGCAATTCCTTTTGCCTCAAGATGTGTTCTACCATACATTCTTAGTAAAAGTTTACACTTTATTACCTATAATAATTCTTTTTTAGTGTTGTCATCTGTTTTTTCTTTGATCAAATTGTTTTTCAGTTATGTCTACCATTATAAAACAGTAGAGAGCTTTCAGGGAAGTATTGCTTCCATTCTTGCCTCTTCTCCTAGTTCATCTTTCCCTTTAGATACCAATTTTACTAGTTTGCTTTTCCACTGTTTCTTATAGAAATATATGAGCGAACATCATATTCCCTTCCGGTGTGACTTCTTATAAGGGAGTAGGAGATTATGGATAATTTTCCTCATCTTGCTTTTCTCTGAATGTCCAATAAATAGTCCCATATGCAGTTTAACCTAAACTCTACTGAAAGATGTAGACTTGAGTAGGCTTACAGATACAAAGTTTATTATGAAAAGGAAACTTAACCTTTGGACTCCCTAGAGGCCTGGGTTTTAGTCATTTGAGAGAGATTGATGGATCCTCTCCCCCTAACATGACTAAATTGGTTGTAACAGATTCTGACCCCTGCTGCTCGCCAGTGATATTTTTCTTCTAAGAATGATTAGATGATTTCCTGAAAAGGCATCAAAATTGAGTATCACTATAATCTGGAATGAAAAAAATATAAGTGTAGTAAAATATACCCCCAAGAAGCCATGGTTCAGAGTTTGTGGCCTCAGTCATTCGCAGTTTTCCTTAGAACGTAATTAATCATTGTTCAGGGAAACCTGTGCAATTTTGCGGAAACCATAAATATCCTCCGCAGTTGTTTTTTTGGTGGGAGGTTTGCAAGTAGCCAATCAGAGTGTTAGTTAGTTCTCCTTGCTGCTGATTGGCTGCTGCCCTGTAACCCATACCCAGCTGATGTACCAATATTCCGGTGTCATAACAGTTTGCTGTACCCTAGCTATCTCGAGTGTTCTTGATTTTGTTCTTAAAGCCCTAAAATCCCTAAGAGGTCTCCAAAATGCCCTGCATCTTTTAAGGCTTTGTTAACACAGTATTAAATTAAATTGTGTAACTGCAGAAGATGTGGCATATTTGGGGTTTAAACTATAAAAATAGGCATTTCTAGGCATTTTTCTGACTGTATCTGAAACTGTGTTTTTTCACAATTCACAAGTGCTCTAGGAACATAACTCCTGAGAATTTTGGGGGTCCACTATAAGAATGATATGATTTAGATTTGTGTTGTTTATTTTAAGATAAGTTTAAAAACAGAGTAATCAGTGAATAATATGATACTTACACAAATTGTTTCAGGGAGTCTTCTTAATAAAGTTAGTAATAAATATTTACATGTTTAAAAGATTGATTCTCCAAAGTTGTGTTTATTTAAAAATGTGTTTATTAAATAGAGTATTAAAATACAAATAATAGTCTTTCTCTCCATGCACAACAACCTTTTGGGTATTAATGAGCCTTTCAGTAACTGCAGAGAAAAGTGACTCACTGTGAAAATCCCTACACTTCAGAGTGTACCACAATGATTCTCTAAGTGATTCTCTTAGCCTTCTGTTGCTAAGCTGCTATTCTATCCCACAACTTCGTCATACAGTTATCCCAGAATTCTTTACCCTTGATTTGCAGTAGTTTGATGGCAGAGAATTGGCGTGTGACTGGACATTTTGTAATTCTGTAAACCAATGAGTGCATAATACAGATGGTACCTAATTAGATGGTCATTTTCCTATACCATTTACTGTAGTTATTTATAGAGTACTTTGCAGGTAATAATCTTCTGAAGAGAATTAAGCTTAGGGAATTTAGGGCCCTATGTTAGAGTAAAGAAATTATACTTTACTACTGCCTCATCATCCCTTTCCTCCTTCACACTCTCTGTTTGATACTTCAGTACTTCTTTATCCAACAAGATTCCCTTTAAAAGTCTGCATATAATGGATGCATTTAGTCTTTTGTGATTTTCCTCGCCATAAACACAATGTACATTTAATGTTCATCAAAAGTAAGACTTTTAAAATGACATTGAGCATGAGATAGACTATCGGGCGCCTGCAGACCTTTCTTGTATGCCTAAAATAAATCCATGATTAACATGTGTGTGCTGTAACAATTTAACAAAGCGTTTTACCTCTGTGCAATGGAGGAAAATATTGACCTTAGAAAAATAGAATTCTAAATTCCCGCTGAATGGTATAGATTTGAACCAAACGTATCTCTTCACCAAGTATCTCTCATTTCCTTGTTTATCTTGAAAGAGGTAGCCTATGTAGGTCACTTAATTCTAATTGTTTATTTAATAAATAATTTACTTTAATTATTTATTTCAGATGACTCCAGAATTGATGATAAAAGCATGCACTTTTTACACTGGACGTTTAGTAAAGACCCATTTTTGGTGAGAATGTGATTTTCCTGATAAGAATGGGGGTGGGGATAAGGGAAGCATCACTTCTTGATCTTCTCAGTTTATTTATTAATGTGTTCCTGTAACATCAAAATGTTATTTTTTTCTTTTTCTTTTTTTTTTTTTTTTTTTTTTTTACCTGTAGTGCGTGGAAAGAAATGGCAATACCTCAAGTAAATGAAGAAGAAATCCTGGCTGCAAAAATGGAAAGGGCAATAAGACATTATAATTTTAGCCTTCAAAAATCTTCATTTCGTCAGTGGTGCTCTTATGTAGAAAGGAACAGAGAAGAAATTGAAGGTAAATCCTAACATGATAGCAATTACTTTTGTATATTCAAATGAATGGTTTTTGTTTGTTTTTTGCTTTTGGTACTAGGAATCAAACTCAGGACCTTGCACTTGCCAGGAAAATGCTGTACCACTGAGCTATATCCCCAGCCCTGAACCTGCTTTTATGTTTAGAAAATTGTTATGTTTAGAACATTGTTATGAAATGAAGGCAGAACCACTCATTTAAAATATTTAATGAGGATTTACTTGTAAAGATTTTATTGAAACTGGCATATTTTAAACCAAACACTCTGTGTATTTGTGTATGTGTGTATCTAAAAATAAATAGGGATCTACTATTTTTTATGTAAGAGAGAGCTGATATATTTTGGGTAGGTACCAAAAAAGTCACTATTTTTGCAGAGAGAGTTACATTTGTTACAAATCTTTGATTTAAAGTACATGTGAGGAAGCTTATTTTCTCTTACTTGAGACTTAATCTTTATAAGAGGATAGTGTGCATGTGTGAATTTAGGAGTCAGGATAGAAGACTCCTGCCTTTTGCTTAGATTTTTTGCAGACTCACTCACAGCTGGGGTAAACCAGACAATCAATTCCTTTTGACCAGGCTATTATCTGTGCTTCATTCAGAGCGGATGCTTATAAGGTTTAAATGTAAATGTAAATGTAAATGTAAATGTAATTGTGAATGTAAATGTAATGAAGAGTTAGGAACTGGCTAATTGGCTAACTTGCATTTCACAGGGTTGTAATAGTAGGTGATACTATTTTAAAAATCCCTATCATGGATGAACTGCAAACTCTGTAGTGAAAGCAGATTAATTTGTAGATTAGAATAGCCTTCCTACCAAATTCTTCTCCTCTCTACCAGAGGATATTAGTAAGCTTTCTGTTACTGAGACACGATACCCCACATCCACAATTTAAAGGTGGAGTTTACTTTGCTCACGGTTTTAGTCCCTGATCAGCGGGCTCCAAGGCAAAGGCCTCGAGGCAGAAGGGTGTGGGGGAACAATGCTGCTTAGTTTGTGTGGCCAGGAAGCACTGCAGGAGAACAGAGCCAGAGCCGGAGCTAGGGACCAGATGTAGATCCCAAGGCCATGACTCTGTGACCCACCCTGACACCCTAAAAGTGTGCTCTGCCAACCTCTGGGGTGGATCCCAGAGCCAATCAAATTGAAACCCCACCCTGTCTGCTTCAGTTACTCCTTTTGCCTCTCAGCACTCTCTTTCTGCTGGTTTCTTGCACCTTCGTTGTGTTTCTCTTTTTAATATTCTTTCCCTCCTTCTGGCCTCCTCCTAGTTCTGCACCTTCTCTTATTCTCTCTAATCCCATGTCTTGTTCACTTTGCCTTTGTCTCCTTCACCTCCAGTCTCTTTCTCACCATTAGGGTGAACCATGTGAAAGTGTCCGTGTTCTTTCCTACTCTTCTCTCATTCTTCTCTCCTAATTTTTTTCTCCTACCGACGTTTTTTTCTCAATATTTTCCCTCTTACCTCTTGCCATTTTTCTGTCTTATCTAACCATCATACCACACAGAGGCATATATTTTAAAAGTATTTATTATATTTATGCAGTAAACATTCATATTCCTGTTTTTAACACCTTCTCAAAATGACATAATCTCTTAAAAATATCTGAGTCACCTTCATATTATGGCACTTCTTGGGGGCTGGTCCTCTTTTCCTGGGGAAGGCAATGTTCTACATAATTTGTGATCATGAAAAAAGTTAAAATTTTGTTTGAGATTTAACTGTCAGAAATTTCAAATAATAGGCCCACATTATGATTTTCAAGTGAAACCATTCAAATAAATAAAAATTAATAAAACATAACCAGTATTGAAATATTTTATTATACATTTATATGTTGATATAACCCTAAAAGTCTAAGAAATATTACTATAAGCAGATGTAATTTAGAGTATATATAAACAAGCTTCTAGCATGTTAAGTGCTAGCAAATAGAATGTCTGATAAAATAATAATTTCCCACAAGATGCTTTTACTTTGGAGTTATAACTTAAATAACAAAAATTAAAATCAATCTGAACATTTATCTATATGGAAGTGTATTTTGGTGGAAAGCAATTCAAGCAAAGGGCATTTACCTGAAAATGAATAGAAAAACTTACTGTTTTCAATCAATAACTTTTTTCCTTTTTATTTTTTGTTTGTACTTGTCTGCACTGCATAATGATTACACTTATCATGGGGAGTTTGTACATGTTCGTGTCACGTCTTAATTCTTTTTTTGTCCCTTTCCCCTCCCATCCTTCCCTGCACCCTTCAACAGTTGTTCCCCTTCACTTTTGCCAAAGCTCTATTTCCATTTTGCTTCAGTTCTCACTTTTTATTCTTTTTCCCTTCCATCTCTAATCCCTCCTTCCATATCTTGTTCCATTTGAAAAGATCTCCTTACTCCCTGTTATCTATCTTTTACTTTGCTTTTTACTTACACTTTAGGTTTCTCATACAAGAGGAACCATGCAATATGTAAACGTGTATCTGATTTATTTCACTTAATGTTATGGTCTCAAGGGGCATTCATTTTCTACAAATGATTCAAGTTTATTCTTCTTTACGGCAGAGTAGTACTCCATTAAAATCTTTAATTTTTGAGCCACTATTTTTTTTTTTT